ATAATAAGAACCTGACACCAAGCTCGAAATTGATATTCACACTATTATTGTTTACTTCAACTTATCGAAAAGTAGATCATCCCAACAACTACGAAGATAAAGTAAAATAGTTGTAAATTGTCAAATATATCCTTGAACACCTAATAAAATTTCAAAATTTCCCCCGTAGTCACGGGCCTTTGTCCTTTGGGGGCAGAATGTACAATTCTTATTCAATATTGTTGTAATGAAGTGAGTGAGTGGATCACATAAAGTTTTGAGAAAACCTTCGCAGTATAAAACAAAACCCAATAGAGGTGCCTAAAACGCGTTGGAATCCAGTTGAAGACCGACGTATGGCTAATCACTGGCTTACACGTGTTGATTTGCGCGTCTTCTTGAATTACTTGTCACCGTATTTAGCTTCAAAATGTCTCCAGCTTCACTTCACTCTTCCAAACTTTAGGATCCCTTTCTTGGTGTTTGTGTAATGCAATCAATTTATTAGGAATTTGTAAATAAATAATTTGATCAAGAAAAGTTTTCTTTTAGGGTTGTATGACGAGACTTTCGATAAAAAATTTAGTAGAATTTAGGTCCTATTCGAGCCACATTAGAAATAGTAAATTGCATGTATGGTTAAAAAAAAAAAAAAGATTTTTTATTTGTTTATAATATTATTATAATGAAAAATGTGTGATTGAAAATGAGTATTGTAGAAAAAATAATGAGAAAAAAATAGGGCTCAAAGAGCTTCTGAATGAATTGTATGGTCAAAACTTGATAAAAACAGTGGATTTCTTGAATTGTATAGTTAACGTTGACCAGTTAAAAGGTTGATAAAAATTTTGAATTTTTTTCTCGAACAAGCCATTATATTAAGATGTGTGAGTGGCCTTTAATGAAGAAAGATTAGACAAGTGAATACACTTTGATGCATAAATCAGCGTGAAGAATCAAGATTGAAAAATCGAATTGACAAAGAACGCAAATTTTTTTCCCATTATGTAAGTATGATGTGGTCACTTAAGTGAAGGTTAGAAGTCTAACTGAATTTGATGCATATATGGAGCGCATGGTCTAATAAAAGATAGTGCAGTTAAATCATTCTTACTAATTTACATTACCGAATCAAACATCAAGATGACTAGATGAGTTCTAATAAAAGCAATTCTGCAACAATTTTCTCATAAGGGCCAAATACCTATTTAAAACGACATCCCCACCACACTATTGTTTCTCTCTCGACATATTCACTGAAACTCACAGTATAAAAATGGTGCCTCCAACCAAACAAACCCACCAACATTCTCACTCTTATCTCACTAAAAAAATGCACTCCATATTCTTCTTCCCTCTGTTCCTACTTTTCACTGTAAGAATTTGTTCTTGTTCTTGATTATTTTGTTTTCATCTTTGGTGTGTACTGTTTTTTTGGTTAATTTAAATGAGTGAATGCAGGTGGGAGTGAAGACCGGCGTTGAGAGTTCCGGTGCCGGAGAAAACCCATTTACGCCTAAGGGTTATGTGATACGTTACTGGAAGAAACAGATCTCTAATGACTCGCCGAAGCCATTGTTTTTACTTAATAAAGCTTCGCCATTGGACTCAGTGCAATTCGCGGCTTTCTCGAAACTTGCTGATCAGCGTTCACTTGCAACTCACCTCCCCGAGTTCTGTGCAAGGGCTAATCTCCTCTGCTTCCCAGATTTAACGCCGAGTCTTGAGAAGCACGACGGGAATGTTAACTTTGCCGCCTACAATGAGAGGAACTTCACAAACTACGGCACGGGTCGACCCGGCGGGGTTGACTCGTTTAAGAACTACTCCGACGGGGAAAATATTCCGATAGATACATTCCGACGGTATAGCCGTGACTCCAACGGACATAAAGACAAATTCACTAGTTATGCAAGCAATGCTAATGTAGCGGACGGCAGCTTCAATACGTACGGCACCGCCGCTACTGGCGGTGTTGGCGACTTCAGCAACTACAACAATGAAGTCAATGTGCCTAATCTCCGTTTCACTTCTTATACTGACAACGGCAATGGCCGGGAACAATCTTTCTCATCTTATACCAATGAGGCCAATTCTGGCGATGAAAAATTCACCAGCTACGGCAAAAACGCCAATGGCGCCGTTAATGCCTTCAACAGCTACGGCAAAGACGCCAATGTGATTGGCTCGACCTTCGATAATTATGGTGAAATCGGCAATGGCGCAAATGACAGTTTCACTTCGTACGGGAATAACGGAAATGTACCAGAAAATACATTCAAGAATTACGGCACCGGCGGCAATGTTCCCGTGGAGACTTTTAAGACCTACAGAGACCAATCCAACGTCGGGGATGACAATTTTCAAACCTACGGCAAGGGTTCGAATACTGCAACGGTGAATTTTGAGAATTATGGGCAATCATTCAATGAAGGTTCTGATAAATTCAGTAGTTATGGAAAAGATGCGTCTGGTGAGACAGTTGGGTTCAAAATTTATGGAGTGAATAATACTTTCAAGGAGTATACTAAAAAGGGTGTCACATTTGCTCGTTATAATGAAACGACGACGGCGGCGGGTCCGACAACCGCCACATTGGCAGCAGAGAGTGGCAAAAAAGTAAATAAATGGGTTGAGCCTGGCAAATTTTTTAGAGAAGAGATGTTGAAAGGTGGGAATGTGATGCCTATGCCTGACATTCGGGATAAAATGCCTAAAAGGTCGTTTTTGCCCCGGGTGATAGTGTCAAAATTACCGTTTTCAACCTCCAAGCTCAGAGAATTGAAGGAGATTTTCCATGCGGGCGACGATGATTCTAGCATGGCTAAAATGTTAGCCGATTCATTGAGCGAGTGCGAGAGGGCCCCGAGCCCAGGTGAGACGAAGCGGTGCGTGGCTTCAATTGAGGAGATGATCGACTTTGCGACTTCGGTGCTCGGGCGAAAAGTGGTGGTCCGGACGACGGAAAACACTCGAGGATATAATAGTAATATCATGATCGGAAAAGTCAAAGGGATCAACAGTGGCAAAGTCACGAGATCAGTGTCTTGTCATCAAAGTCTATACCCATACTTACTGTATTACTGCCATTCAGTTCCCAAAGTCCGGGTCTACGAAGCGGATATCTTGGATCCGAATTCTAAGTCCAAGATTAACCACGGTGTTGCCATTTGTCATTTGGATACCTCTTCTTGGAGCCCCGATCATGGAGCCTTCATTGCATTGGGTTCGGTTCCGGGTAAGATTGAAGTTTGCCACTGGATCTTCGAGAATGATATGACTTGGACAATTGGTGATTGAATTCGAAGCCCCGTTTTGTAATTCGGATTCGAACCAGTTGTGTTACATAAAGACGAACCACTGGTTTGAACATTATAATTAAACTCACTTATATTATTATTACCTCTCCTAAGTTTGCTATTCAGATTCAAATTTGAATAACAATTTGTTATGTTACATTTTTATGTTAATAAATAGTTATTATGAATTCCATTATAAATTCAATGAGTCTCATCCTCCTTTCGTGTAAATGTACTCTATTGTGTTCAATAAAATTAGGAAAAATTGGTCGAATAATTATTTTTTAACTGTAAAACTAAAAAATTTCCATAGGATACTCATCCTACTATGCACTTCTGAATTATCTTTTCGATATGCCCAAAAGTTAAACGAGTAAGTTATCAATTTAAAGACTATATGATTCATTGCGTTACGTACGAATGAAATTCGACAAAATGGGAAAACTTTGGAATGTGTTGATAATAGTGAAGAGGTAATTGAATGAAAAATAAGGGTGCGTTTGATTGTCAATATTTCACAATTTTCTTCTCAACTTTTATACTATTTTATTGATATTTTTTTCATGGAAAACATTTTGTTACTTTTGATCACGTAACCATATTTTTCTTGGAAATGAGGAAAATATTTTCTTTAAAGAGAGTATATTTTTATTTTTTACGTAATTTTCTCTCTCTCTCTCTC